GTATCCCACCAGATGTACCCTCTAGATGTACCCTCTAGATGTACCCACCAGATGTACCCACCAGATGTACCCTCTAGATGTACCCTCTAGATGTACCACTAGATGTACACACCAGATGTACCCACTAGATGTACCCACTAGATGTACCCTCTAGATGTACCCTCTAGATATACCCTCCAGATGTACCCACCAGATGTACCCTCTAGATGTACCCACCTGATGTACCCTCTAGATGTACCCACTAGATGTACCCACTAGATGTACCCACCAGATGTACCCTCTAGATGTACCCACCAGATGTACCCCACTAGATGTATCCCATTATCATGTCAATCACTGGATTGTTTGGTCCAGACATGATTATGTACAGACAACTGTCATATAGCTGGAATATTGCTCAGTTCGGCATCAACAAACAAACAAACAAACAAACAAACAAACAACAAACAAACAAACTTGATGTACTCTCCATCATTACGACACTAGACTCATTACACTTCGCCACCCCTCGAGAATTCTGTCACTTGACAAGTTGGAGGTGATCTCTATCTACAACAATCGACTATGTGAAGTAACCTCACTCTCAAGTCAGATTACAGGTGGGGACAGGTGGGGACAGGTGAGATGGGGGCAAACTAGCACCTGTAACAAGAGATGAGAAGCTCTTTACCTGCATCGACAGAACCATCAGCCCCCTTCAAAGTCCTCTCCCGATCCGATTGACAGTGAAAGTGTGACATGGTGTCTAAAAATAGCTGTCATGTGACTTGACAGGCTGGTACTTGTACTAGGAAGCTTGTAGCCCTGGTGTACGCAGAGAGGACAGTGTTATAGTGAGGGGCGTTGGTATAGTGACGAAACAATTGGCATGTGATAAAACAGCTTCTCATGTATGTTTTCATCAGGTAATACAAATGTATAGATGTCTGAGGGTTGTGTGTGGTGGGGGTGGTTGTGTGGTGGGGGTGGCTGTGTGGGGGGTGGGGTGGTTGGGTGGGGGGTAGGTCAGCTTCTCTCTTCCTGCATCGATCATGGAGGAAGTTCTGATAGCAACTCATTCATTGCCTTGCTTATTACCTGTGTCTCTACATTCCCCCTGTGTCTCTACATCCCCCCAGTGTCTCTATATCCCCCCTGTGTCTCTATATCAGCCCTGTGTCTCTATATCCCCCCTGTGTCTCTACATCAGCCCTGTGTCTCTATATCCCCCCTGTGTCTCTATATCCCCCCTGTGTCGCTATATCAGCCCTGTGTCTCTATATCCCCTGTGTCTCTATATCCCCCCTGTGTCTATATATCCCCCTGTGTCTATATATCCCCCCTGTGTCTCTATTTCCCCCCTGTGTCGCTATATCACCCCTGTGTCGCTATATCAGCCCTGTGTCTCTATATCCCCCCTGTGTCTCTATATCCCCCCTGTGTCTCTATATCACCCCTGTGTCTCTATATCCCCCCTGTGTCGCTATATCACCCCTGTGTCGCTATATCAGCCCTGTGTCTCTATATCCCCCCTGTGTCTCTATATCACCCCTGTGTCTCTATATCCCCCCTGTGTCGCTATATCACCCCTGTGTCTCTATATCAGCCCTGTGTCGCTATATCACCCCTGTGTCGCTAATCAGCCCTGTGTCTCTATATCACCCCTGTGTCGCTATATCAGCCCTGTGTCTCTATATCACCCCTGTGTCGCTATATCAACCCTGTGTCGCTAATCAGCCCTGTGTCGCTATATCACCCCTGTGTCGCTATATCAGCCCTGTGTCGCTATATCAGCCCTGTGTCGCTATATCAGCCCTGTGTCTCTATATCACCCCTGTGTCTCTATATCACCCCTGTGTCGCTATATCACCCCTGTGTCTCTATATCACCCCTGTGTCGCTATATCAGCCCTGTGTCTCTATATCACCCCTGTGTCTCTATATCACCCCTGTGTCGCTATATCAGCCCTGTGTCTCTATATCACCCCTGTGTCGCTATATCACCCCTGTGTCTCTATATCACCCCTGTGTCGCTATATCACCCCTGTGTCGCTATATCAGCCCTGTGTCTCTATATCAGCCCTGTGTCTCTATATCAGCCCTGTGTCTCTATATCAGCCCTGTGTCGCTATATCACCCGTGTCGCTAATCAGCCCTGTGTCTCTATATCAGCCCTGTGTCTCTATATCACCCCTGTGTCTCTATATCAGCCCTGTGTCTCTATATCAGCCCTGTGTCGCTATATCACCCGTGTCGCTAATCAGCCCTGTGTCTCTATATCAGCCCTGTGTCTCTATATCACCCCTGTGTCTCTATATCAGCCCTGTGTCTCTATATCAGCCCTGTGTCGCTATATCAGCCCTGTGTCTCTATATCACCCCTGTGTCTCTATATCCCCCCTGTGTCTCTATATCCCCTGTGTCTATATCCCCCGTGTCTCTATATCCCCTGTGTCTCTATATCCCCCCTGTCTCTCTATACCCCCCTTTGTCTATATATCCCCCGTGTCTCTATATCCCCACTGTCTCTCTATATCCCCTGTGTCTCTATATCCCCCGTGTCTCTATATCCCCCGTGTCTCTATATCCCCCGTGTCTCTATATCCCCCCTGTCTCTCTATATCCCCCGTGTCTCTATATCCCCCTTTGTCTATATATCCCCCGTGTCTCTATATCCCCCTGTCTCTCTATACCCCCCCCGTCTCTCTGTATCCCCGTGTCTCTATATCCCCCTGTGTCTCTATATCCCCCGTGTCTCTATATCCCCCTGTCTCTCTATACCCCCCCGTCTCTCTGTATCCCCGTGTCTCTCTATCCCCTGTGTTTCTATATCCCCTGTGTCCATATATCCCCATCTCTATATCATCTCTGTACTTCTTACAATAGGTGGGTACTGTTAGACAGCTTTCAAGTGTACATTCTTTCTGCCCACCTTTTAAGAACTTTGATCCTGAAACGAAGGGTCAAGTACATGAACAATCTATTTCTGATCATGACAGGTATGTTGCAAAAACTCCACTTCCAAGAAGTCAGTTATGACACTGATAAGTTCTATTCCTAACCCTGACAGTCCTGAAGCCGGAATTCCTTTCTCTAATCGTTACAATTGATTAGATATCATGGAAACAGAGGTGTGGTTTCCTGGAATCTGCTGGCAGTGTTTCATTGTACGCAGTCTGTACATAGTCTGTACACGGTCTGTACAGGGTGCTTGTGTTGTGGTTACAGTGTTGCTGTGTGCGGCTCTGATTGTCCTCTAGTTGAATAATCAGTCCAATCATAATAGCAGGACTTTCCTGGCTTAGGTTACGTATTGGAGACATGCCACGATTTCTGCTGACGTGGCATAATTGAATATTCAGGTTACACCTTCCACGGTTCCGCCTCCTCACACCATGTTCAATACTGCTTGTATGGTCGGTGTATACAGATCTCATTCAACAGGGGCCCATTAAACTTGGAAGACATCACGTGTAGCAGCCGACGATGCCCCACTTTTTAAAGTATTTATCTATACACAATATATCACTGTTAAGTACAGAACAAACTGTGAACTAAAGTATCATATAATATTGAGTGTAGTCTGCTATACTGAGGCATTATGTTATAGTGTTATACTGGGGCTTAGTGTCATAGTGTGTTGTATTGAGCTATAGTGTGCTATACTGAGGTCGTGTGTTATACTGAGGTAGAGTGTGTTATACTGAGGTATAGTGCTACAGTGCATTATATAGAGGAATAACATTACTGTGTGTTATTCATAGAGCGATATAGTGTGTTATATGAAGGTTTTTAGTGTTCTAGTGTGATATACTGAGGTATAGCTTTGTAAAGTGTTATAGTGCCATGGTGATATATAGAAGTGTATAGTTGTGTTGTGTTATACCAAGACATAGTGTTACACTTTGTTACATTGAGGTAGAGTGTTATATTGAGGTATAGCATTTTGGGGTGTTGTATTGAGGTACAGCATTATAGTGTGTTATATTGAAGTGTACTAGTATAATGTGTTATACTGAGGCATAGTGTTATATTGAGGTGTAGTGTTAGAGTATGTAGTCAGAGTGACAAAACACACTCCACAAGACTGTAGGGCTTGGACGAGTCCGAATTTACTACCCGGGTACCCAACGCCCTATTACCCACCCCTACCCGGGTACCCACTGTAGGTCTCAAGAGAGAGGTACAAAATGTCTGATTGGGCATTTTGTTTTACCATAGCCCTGGCTAAACGTATTTAGATACATGTATTAAACAATCTGGTCATGCATACACTGAAGTTATATCTTTATTCAACCATATGAAAAATCAGAAGGAATGGGTGCACAGTCAGAAAGAAATGTGAACATGTGTGACTTGTAGTGTAACCATAGAGTTCTAGATCATTTTTGTCATAAAACAATATATCATGTGACTAACCACGGGTCCGGGTAGTCCTGTGGGTACCCGGGTCCTACTCAGAACCCACCCGACCCGGGTACCCGAGTTTCCCGTCCCAGCCCTACAAGACTGTATGACAAGAGGGATGACATTAACTTTCCAATAGTCAACATTCCTTTCATGTTGAGCAATATTCCAGCAGCTCCAGCCCTTGGTGTTTACATTTCGCAACTTTTGAGTTACATGCTCTTTCTACCAGGATTTCAAAGACCATCATTCGACACTTGCTCAGAAGTTGTTTGATCAAGGTTACAACATTCAAGGCCTCGGTAAAACTTTCAAAACATTTTATGGTAGAAATGTGGGTGACATTTCTAAGTTTGACACATCAGTGACAAATATGATGTCCAATGCGCCATGTTTCCATGTTTTTTCAGTGAACAGTTGACTAGCCTTTGCATGTGTTTGTGATCGGTGCCACCAGTGGTGCAGGATACAGACCTTTTCTTGATCTTCTGGTATCATCACTATTTGATAGGGATTCATAAACACAATATACAGATAGTGATGTAGAGGGTGTTCTGTTGAGATGTAGTGTTATAGTGAGGTAGAGGGTGTTCTGTTGAGGTGTGGTGTTATAGTGAGGTAGAGGGTGTTCTGTTGAGGTGTGGTGTTATAGTGAGGTAGAGGGTGTTCTGTTGAGGTGTGGTGTTATAGTGAGGTAGAGGGTGTTCTGTTGAGGCGTAGTGTTATAGTGAGGTAGAGGGTGTTCTGTTGAGGTGTACTGTTATAATGGGGTAGAGGGTGTTCTATTCAGGTGTAGTGTTATAGTGAGGTAGAGGGTGTTCTGTTGAGGTAGAGGATGTTCTGTTGAGGTGTAGTGTTATAGTGAGGTAGAGGGTGTTCTGTTGAGGTGTGGTGTTATACTGAGGTAGAGGGTGTTCTGTTCAGGAGTAGTGTTATAGTGAGGTAGAGGGTGTTACAGTGAGGTATGTAACCAGGTCAGTATGTAAGTAAAGTGTATTGATAAAGCCATTGATTGAAGTCTACAACACAGCGCGGTGGCTGTGTAAACATGTCGAGGCAGGACGCTTAAAGGCACACAGACCATACCTCGTGCAGACAGCACAAAAACTCACAGAAAACCACCAAAAGTCAATCTTGTACAAAAGTTCATTCCTCAGGTTGAAATAAAGTCATGTTCACCCGACCAAGAGGTGGTCCCAGTGTTAAACACACAACCGGTCGTAATCCCATGGCAAACACGTAACCAGGACGACAGGGTAAATGTGAAAATACACAACATGTTATGGTAGAGTAGGACTTCTGCCGACATTGTCTCAACCGTCTCCGGCCCTCTGCTGTATCCAGTCCTCTGCTGGTGTCACATCTGTGAGAGTGAGTGTGTGAGTGAGTGAGTTGGGTTTAACGCCGCTTTTAACACTATTCCTGTTATATCACAGCGTGTCAGCTTAATGTGGGAGGAAAGCCCGAAGTGATGCAGGTCTACCACCTCGGTGAAACCCACGAGCACGGGTATGGTGCTGACAAACCTAGAAACATAATCGGGGTAAACCGGGATTCGAACCCACAATCATAGGTTTCTGGCCTGCCTAAGGGACACCCCTCTGCACAGCTAAACACGCCTTAGACAACTGGGCCACCCGTGCCCCCGCATGTGGGAGAAGTGCTGGTGGAATGTTGAACATGTTCATGTAATATTGAAGGGAGAAATGATTGTAATTCCTTGTCAGTGTATGCATGCTGGGAGATATCATTGCAGTTTCCTGTCGGTGCATGTCTTCAGTAACCCATGCTTGTCATATAGGCGACTAATGGGATCAGGTGGTCAGGCTCGCTGACTTGGTAGATGCATGTCATCCTATCCCAATTGCTCAAATCAATGTTCATGATATCAATCACCTGATTGTTTGGTCTAGACTCGATTGTATACAGATCACCGTCATATAGCTGGAATATTGCATAAAACAACAAACCAATGAACAAAACATACATGCATGAAGGGAGAAATCATTGTAGTTTCCTGTCCGTCGAAACAGGAAGGGAGAAATCATTGCAATTCCCTCTCTGTGCCATCGTCAAGCGAGAATTCCTTGTAATTCCATGTCGGTCTATACATGAAGGGAGAAGTCATTGTAGGTCAGGTCCATATCCGAGAAGATACCACCAGCTGTGTTCACAAAGTGGTCAGACTGTGAACACGGCATGGTACCCTCCCCAACACAGACAGGAGTCCGCATCCCTCATCTGATGAAGTGCTACCTCAGTCACATCTCAATCCACTCTTGTCTCCCACTTTACAAAAACCCCTTTACCGCCTAGCTCAGACATAACCCTGTACCCTCTAGCTCAGACATAACCCTTTATCCCCTAGCTCAGACACAACCCTTTACCCCCTAGCTCAGACATAACCCTTTACCCCCTAGCTCAGACATAATCCTTTACCCCTAGCTCAGACATAACCCTTTACCCCCTAGCTCAGACATAACCCTTTACCCCCAAGCTCAGACACAACCCTTTACCCCCAAGCTCAGACATAACCCTTTACCCCCTAGCTCAGACATAACCCTTTACCCCCTAGCTCAGACATAACCCTTTACACCCTAGCTCAGGCATAACCCTTTACCCCCAAGCTCAGACATAACCCTTTACCCCCAAGCTCAGACATAACCCTTTACCCCCTAGCTCAGACATAACCCTTTACCCCCCTAGCTCAGACATAACCCTTTACCCCCCTAAGTCAGACATAACCCTGTACCCCCTAACTCAGACATAACCCTTTATCCCCTAGCTCAGACATAACCCTGTACCCCCTAGCTCAGACATAACCCTGTACCCCCTAGCTCAGACATAACCCTGTACCCCCTAGGTCAGACACAACCCTGTATCATATATCACCAATGTATCACATCCTTGGAAACTTCCCTAGGTCAGACACAACTTTGTATCATATATCAACATCATATCTCATCCTTGTATACTTCCCTAGGTCAGACACATCCCTGCATCATATACCAGTCATATCACATCCTTGTATACTTCCCTACCTCAGCCACAACCCTGTATCATATACCAGTCATATCACATCCTTGTATACTTAGCTAGGTCAGCCACAACCGTGCATCATATACCACTGTCATATCACATCCTTGTATACTTCCCTAGGACAGACACAACCATGCATCATATACCAGTCATATCACATCCTTGTATACTTCCCTACCTCAGTCACAACCCTGCGTCATATACCAGTCATATCACATCCTTGTATACTTCCCTACCTCAGTCACAACCCTGCGTCATATACCGCTGTCATATCACATCCTTGTATACTTCCCTACCTCAGTCACAACCCTGCGTCATATACCAGTCATATCACATCCTTGTATACTTCCCTACCTCAGTCACAACCCTGCGTCATATACCACTGTCATATCACATCCTTGTATACTTCCCTACCTCAGTCACAACCCTGCGTCATATACCACTGTCATATCACATCCTTGTATACTTCCCCAGGACAGACACAACCCTGCATCATATACCACTGTCATATCACATCCTTGTATACTTCCCTATCTCAGTCACAACCCTGCATCATATACCACTGTCATATCACATCCTTGTATACTTCCCTAGGACAGACACAACCCTGCATCATATACCAGTCATATCACATCCTTGTATACTTCCCTAGGTCAGACACAACCCTATATCATATACCAGCCATATCACATCCTTGTATACTTCCCTACCTCAGTCACAACCCTGCGTCATATCACATCATTGTATACTTCCCTACCTCAGTGACAACCCTGCATCATATACCAGTCATATCACATCCTTGTATACTTCCCTACCTCAGTCACAACCCTGCATCATATACCAGCCATATCACATCCTTGTATACTTCCCTACCTCAGTCACAACCCTGCGTCATATCACATCATTGTATACTTCCCTACCTCAGTCACAACCCTGCATCATATACCACTGTCATATCACATCCTTGTATACTTCCCTAGGTCAGTCACAATCCTGTATCATATGATATATCAATATCGCATCACATCCTTGTATACTTCCCTAGGACAGACACAACCCTGAATCATATACCACTGTCATATCACATCCTTGTATACTTCCCTACCTCAGTCACAACCCTGTATCATATACCACTGTCATATCACATCCTTGTATACTTCCCTACCTCAGTCACAACCCTGCATCATATACCACTGTCATACTTGTATACTTCCCTAGGTCAGTCACAACCCTGCATCATATACCACTGTCATACTTGTATACTTCCCTAGGTCAGACACAACCCTACATCATATACTACTGTCATATCACATCCTTGTATACTTCCCTACCTCAGTCACAACCCTGCATCATATACCACTGTCATATCACATCCTTGTATAGCTCCCTACCTCAGACACAACCCTGAATCATATACCACTGTCATATCACATCCTTGTATACTTCCCTACCTCAGTCACAACCCTGCATCATATACCACTGTCATATCACATCCTTGTATAGCTCCCTACCTCAGACACAACCCTGAATCATATACCACTGTCATATCACATCCTTGTATACTTCCCTACCTCAGTCACAACCCTGCATCATATACCACTGTCATACTTGTATACTTCCCTAGGTCAGCCACAACCCTATATCATATACAACTGTCATATCACAACCTAGTATACTTCCCTAGGACAGACACAACCCTGTATGATATACCACTGTCATATCACATCCTTGTATACTTCCCTACCTCAGTCACAATCCTGCATCATATACCACTGTCATATCACATCCTTGTATAGTTCCCTACCTCAGTCACAACCCTGCATCATATACCACTGTCATATCACATCCTTGTATACTTCCCTATCTCAGTCACAACCCTGCATCATATACCACTGTCATATCACATCCTTGTATACTTCCCTATCTCAGTGACAACCCTGCATCATATACCACTGTCATATCACATCCTTGTATACTTCCCTACCTGTCACAACCCTGCATCATATACCACTGTCATATCACATCCTTGTATACTTCCCTATCTCAGTGACAACCCTGCATCATATACCACTGTCATATCACATCCTTGTATACTTCCCTACCTGTCACAACCCTGCATCATATACCACTGTCATATCACATCCTTGTATACTTCCCTACCTCAGTGACAACCCTGTATCATATACCACTGTCATATCACATCCTTGTATACTTCCCTACCTCAGTGACAACCCTGTATCATATACCAGTCATATCACATCCTTGTATACTTCCCTACCTCAGCCACAACCCTATATCATATACCACTGCCATATCACATCCTTGTATACTTCCCTACCTCAGTGACAACCCTGCATCATATACCACTGTCATACCACGTATACACTAACTGAAGACAAGACAAGACACCTGTATCCCACCTTCAAATCTCACCATACCTCATATGCGGTAAAACCAGATCCCTAAACTCAGAAGGTAGATGCAGGCTGGTCCATCAGACGAAGAAGCAATGAGACAAGACACCTGTATCCCACCTTCAAATCTCACCATACCTCATATGTGGTAAAAACAGATCCCTAAACTCAGAAGGTAGATGCAGGCTGGTCCATCAGACGAAGAAGCAATGAGTTTCAACAGAAGGCATCCCCAACACAGACAGTAGAGAAAACACACAGTACAAGCTGAAGGCGTCTTCTCCGATGTGCCTCCTGCAAGAGCTAAGAAGCGTCTGACCAGCCACGACAACCTGTCGCAATTTAAGCTGTCAGCTGCGCCAGTAGAGCGTCGTCGCCATCCCAGCAGCAGTGGGTGGTGGCGCCACGAGGCGCCAGGCCTTCACGGAACAAGTGACGAAGATGAGTATTTTGCCCCGTTCCGTGTGCGGTTGTTGACACTGATGAGGCAAATTTATGTTGACAAACTCGCAGATTGTGCAGGAATGCCGGTCCCCCTCTCTGGCACGCGCTCATCGTCATGCCAGCGTCAAACATCGCCCGATCACCAATGGCCACGCGAAAATAAACGAACGGCAGAATTCATCTCGTCCCCAGATAGATGAGGCTATAATAAGACGAGGGTTGAGTTTGTCGCGTGTCAGTCGGTTTGTCTTGCCTGGATTAGCAGCCCCGTGCCAGCGGGGCCTGTGTGTCCTGGCTGGACTGTACGTGGACGGTCACTCATTGTTTGCCCAGTTGAGCTGACCACACGTCCACAGTGCATGGAGGGCCTCCTGGTGTCGCACGCCGGGGGGGATGACGGACGTCCGCCCGTCGCATGGACAGCAGCCTGCTTCTACACACTCTCCCGTAACACGTTCACGCAAAGTCAAGCAGATTGACTTAATCTCATTAACTTCTCTAAGAGCTGACCACGGAGATTAACATAATCCGATTTGTAGCATGTGGAATGTAAGTGTTCAACGAGTCGCTGCATGCACTGTCACAGTGTCACACTGTCATGACTCAACAGCAGAACTTCTGCAAGATGCCATCAATTTTCCATCCCTATATCGGAGACTGAGTGACACAACCACCACTACCAGTGTCAGTTAACACCCTGGATGCTACAGGGACATATATGTCCCTCCTCTACAACCTTCACTTTGAAGTCGAATAAAATTCAAAATACATCACCCACACAAATACGCTTCACAGTTTTGAATAAGGTGGGAAATTCTCTGTTCTGTGATATCATCCACTTGCATTTTAGGCCAAGTAAAAGTACTAAAACTGACCTCTGAAAATTGGATACATAGTAAATGTCGCCATTTTTTACACATTACTAAATCACCACTCACGGCGTTATTTACAGCATGTTTTGCAATTTCGGATATTTACTTGGAGAGATCTACCCTGTCCCATTGGGGGGGGGGGGGGGGGGGGGGGGGCAGCACTCATGTCTTGAATAACCTGTGGGAAAACTATTGTTTGTTGTTTAACATCACACTCAGCAATACTGCAGCCATTTGACAGCAGTCTCTAATTAATCTAGTCTGGACCATACAATCCAGTGATTGATATCATGCGCATCTATCTACACACAAAGTACTGAGACTGACAAAGACAAGTACTGAGACTGACACACACAGGTACTTGAGACTGACACACACAAGTACTGAGACTGACACACACAACTACTAGAGACTTACACACACAAGTACTTGAGACTGATACACACAAGTACTTGAGACTGACACACACAAGGACTTGAGACTGACACACACAAGTACTTGAGACTGACACACACAAGTACTGAGACTGAAACACACAAGTACTTGAGACTGATACACACAAGTACTTGAGACTGACACACACAAGTACTTGAGACTGAAACACACAAGTACTTGAGACTGATACACACAAGTACTTGAGACTGACACACACAAGTACTTGAGACTGATACACACAACTACTTGAGACTGACACACACAAGTACTGAGACTGAAACACACAAGTACTTGAGACTGATACACACAAGTACTTGAGACTGACACACACAAGTACTTGAGACTGATACACACAAGTACTGAGACTGAAACACACAAGTACTTGAGACTGATACACACAACTACTTGAGACTGACACACACAAGTACTTGAGACTGACACACACAAGTACTGAGACTGAAACACACAAGTACTTGAGACTGATACACACAAGTACTTGAGACTGACACACACAAGGACTTGAGACTGACACACACAAGTACTTGAGACTGACACGCACAAGTACTGAGACTGAAACACACAAGTACTTGAGACTGATACACACAAGTACTTGAGACTGACACACACAAGTACTGAGACTGAAACACACAAGTACTTGAGACTGATACACACAAGTACTTGAGACTGACACACACAAGTACTTGAGACTGAAACACACAAGTACTTGAGACTGACACACACAAGTACTTGAGACTGACACACACAAGTACTTGAGACTGACACACACAAGTACTGAGACTGAAACACACAAGTACTTGAGACTGATACACACAAGTACTTGAGACTGACACACACAAGTACTTGAGACTGATACACACAAGTACTTGAGACTGACACACACAAGTACTTGAGACTGATACACACAAGTACTTGAGACTGATACACACAAGTACTTGAGACTGACACACACAAGTACCGGTTTAAAATAATGCTTACCGGACATTTAAATTTTTCTGTCCGGACATTTTAAAAAGTATTGTCCGGACATTCTTCAATTTTGACCGGACGTGATCAACAGTTAGGACTGAGCAGTTTCTGTCTGCAGTTGTAACACAATGAAGATTATCTACACTGACAAGCTTTGTTTGTTTTGATTGCTGTAAATACATTGTACCTACATGATAGTCCAATCGGTCAATCACTGTAATAGGCAATAAACTGAGTTGACACTGATTAATCAAGGATTAATTACTGAGAACATCTTGTTAATTTGAGTAAAATGTGTTTACAACTGTACATAAATACCTTGCATCATCGATGTACCTCATTATCCTCACAATGCTACGATACGTAACCTCAGACAAGAAGCGAAAGCGTGACGACAGCAAATCAGTTGAGCGGATCTGCCAAACCCTCAAAGTCTGAATGATCATTTTGTAAGTCGTGGCTAACGACTTTCACTTGGTTGACATACAATGAGGATTTGCAGATTTTATTGTTTTCAGTAGCTAGTCGTATATTGAATCTTGATTGACCGCCATTTTGCTTTCTGTGACGATCGATATCAAATTTTTTTATGGTCAATAATTAAGAAAAGATGAAAAAAGTATTCAAATAACTATTGCTATCAACGATATTTCAGTATTTATGATTATATTATCTGTCTTGTTTTTAAATAATCTTTAGTTTAAAAAAAACCTTTTCCCGTGAGGGCACGTGATAACCAAATATGGGATAATAGTCTCGATCCAAATGTTACAACGCGTACACTTGAGCAGACTCATGAATATTAATTAGACCGTTCACTACGTTAACAGATCGTTATTATAACAGAAACAAACGTATGTTTTCCATATATATCTAAAATGATATTATTTGTTATTAATTGTCCGGTGAATTAAACAATTTAAATTGAAACAATTAATAATTCATCATATTATGAATACGTAAACTTGTAATGTGTGTGTAAAAAGTCGGACTAAAATACGCTATTTGCAGGGGGCGTGGCCTAAATGCAAATGTCTGATTGGGATTTTAAATTTTCCGGACCCTTGACTGACACACAAATGAACCGGAGACTGACACACACACAAGTACTGAGACTGACACAAACAAGTACTGAGACTGATACACACAATTACTGACACTGACACACACAAGTACTGAGACTGACACACACACAAGTACTGACACTGACACACACAAGTACTGACACTGACACACACAAGTACTGACACTGACACACACAAGTACTGAGACTGACACACACAAGTATTAAGACTGACACACACAAGTACTGAGACTGACACACACAAGTACTGAGACTGACACACACAAGTACTGTAGATACAGAGGCTGCTGGATAGCTGATAAAGACTGGGTAAAGTGCCACCTACTTGAGTGGTATCTCTCTCCTCCTCTACAGAGTATGCAAGCACCAGCACATCCCAAGACTGCACTGGTGGCTCTCGACACACACTTTCAGCACGTTGCCTCGCAGGTCAGAGGTTACAGGTGAAAACTGGATGTCCACCCTAGGGCGTAGGGCTGGGTTGCGCGGTGGGGCTCGTGCTGTCTGCGTGGTGGCGATATTGACAGACAGAGCAAGGGGCCGGTAGGGGGGGCTGAGGGTGGTGGGTGAGGGCAGGGGGCAGGGGCCACAGTCTGTGTGCCAGGCAGAGTCCCTCTCCGCAAACAAAACACGCTGCCTCACATTCAGATTGCGTGCCATGCATGAGAAGGTTCAAACAGTAGACACAAACCTGGGTGCCTGCTATACAACAGGGTACTGCTATCAACAGGTGCCCTTATACAACAGGGTGCCACAATCAACAGGTGTCCTTACACAACAGTGAACTGCTCTCATGTGACCTGATACAAGAGGGTTCTGCTATCATCAGGTGCCCTTATACAACAGGGTGCCACAATCGACAGGTGCCCTTACACAACAGTGAACTGCTATCATGTGCCCTGATACAACAGGGTTCTGCTACCAACAGGTGCCATTATACAACAGGGTGCCACAATCAACAGGTGCCCTTATACAACACTGAACTGCTATCATGTGCCCTGATACAACAGGGTTCTGCTACCAACAGGTGCCATTATCCAACAGGGTGCCGCAATCAACAGGTGCCCTTATAAAACAGTGAACTGCTATCATGTGCCCTTACACAACAGGGAACTGCTATCAACAGGTGCCCTGATACAACAGGGTTCTGCTACCAACAGGTGCCTTTATACAACAGAGTGCCACAATTAACAGGTGCCCTTATACAACAGTGAACTTCTATCATGTGCCCTGATACAACAGGGTACTGCTATCAACAGGGCCCCTATACAACAGGGTACTGCTATCAACAGGTGCCCCTATACAACAGGCTACTGCTATCAACATGTACCCTTATACAACAGGATTCTGCTATCAACAGATGTCCTTTTACAACGGAGTGCTGCTATCAACAGATGTCCTTTTACAACGGCGTGCTGCTATCAACAGATGTCCTTTTTACAACAGGGTGCTGCTATCAACAGGTGACCTTTTACAACAGGTTCTGCCATCAACAGGTGTCCTTATACAACAGGGTTCTGCTATCAACAGGTGTCCTTATACAACAGGGTGCTGCTATCAACAGGTGACCTTTTACAAGAGGGTTCTACTATCAACAGGTGTCCTTCTACAACAGGGTGCTGCTATGATACAACATGATTCTGCTATCATGTGCCCTTATACAACAGGGTTCTGCTATCAACAGGTGCCCTTATACAACAGGGTGCTGCTATCAACAGGTGTCCTTATACAACATGATTCTGCTATCAACAGGTGTCCTTATACAACAGGGTGCTGCTATCAACAGGTGTCCTTATACAACAGGGTTCTGCTATCAACAGGTGTCCTTATACAACATGATTCTGCCATCATGTGCCCTTATACAACAGGGTCCTGCTATCAACAGGTGTCCTTATACAACATGATTCTACTATCAACAGGTGTCCTTATACAACAGGGTGCTGCTATCAACAGGTGTCCTTATATAATAGGGTTCTGCTATCAACAGGTGTCCTTATACAACATGATTCTGCTATCATGTGACCTTATACAACAGGGTTCTGCTATCAACAGGTGTCCTTATACAACAGGGTGCTGCTATCAACAGGTGTCCTTATACAACATGATTCTGCTATCATGTGCCCTTATACAACAGGGTTATGCTAACAACAGGTGCCATTATACAACAGGGTTATGCTAACAACAGGTGCCCTTATACAACAGGGTCCTGCTATCAACAGGTGCCCTTATACAACAGGGTTCTGCTATCAACAGGTGACCTCATACAACAGGGTTCTGCTATCAACAGGTTACCTCATACAACATGGGTCTGCAATCAACAGGTGCCCTTATACAACAGGGTTCTGCTATCAACAGGTGTCCTTATACAACAGGGTGCTGCTATCAACAGGTGACCTCATACAACAGGGTTCTGCTATCAACAGGTGTCCTTATACAACATGATTCTGCTATCATTTGCCCTTTTACAACGGTTATGCTAACAACTGGTGTCCTTATACAACAGGGCGCTGCTATCAACAGGTGTCCTTATACAACAGGGTGCTGCTATCAACAGGCGTCCTTATACAACATGGTTCTGCTATCAAAAGGTGTCCTAATACAACAGGGTGCTGCTATCAACAGGTGACCTCATACAACAGGGTTCTGCAATCAACAGGTGTCCTTATACAACAGGGTTCTGCTATCAACAGGTGTCCTTTTACAACAGGGTGCTGCTATCAACAGGTGACCTCATACAACAGGGCTCTGCTATCAACAGGTGACCTCATACAACAAGGTTCTGCTATCAACAGGTGACCTCATACAACAGGGTTCTGCAATCAACAGGTGACCTCATACAAATGGGTTCTGCTATCAAAAGGTGACCTCATACAACAGGGTTCTGCTATCAACAGGTGTCCTTATACAACAGGGTTCTGCTATCAACAGGTGTCCTTATACAACAGGGTTCTGCTATCAACAGGTGACCTCATACAACAAGGTTCTGCAATCAACAGGTGTCCTTATACAACAAGATTCTGCTATCAACAGGTGTCCTTATACAACATGGTTCTGCAATCAACAGGTGTCCATATACAACATGGTTCTGCTATCAACAGGTGTCCTTATACAAAAGTGTTCTGCTATCAACAGGTGTCCTTATACAACAGGGTTCTGCTATCAACAGGTGTCCTTATACAACAGGGTTCTGCTATCAACAGGTGACCTCATACAAATGGGTTCTGCTATCAAAGGGGACCTCATACAACAGGGTTCTGCTATCAACAGGTGTCCTTATACAACAGGGTTCTGCTATCAACAGGTGTCCTTATACAACAGGGTTCTGCTATCAACAGGTGCCCTCATACAACAAGGTTCTGCAATCAACAGGTGTCCTTATACAACAAGATTCTGCTATCAACAGGTGTCCTTATACAACATGGTTCTGCAATCAACAGGTGTCCTTATACAACAGGGTTCTGCTATCAACAGGTGTCCTTATACAAAAGTGTTCTGCTATCAACAGGTGTCCTTATACAACAGGGTTCTGCTATCAACAGGTGTCCTTATACAACAGGGTTCTGCTATCAACAGGTGACCTCATACAACAAGGTTCTGCAATCAACAGGTGTCCTTATACAACAAGATTCTGCTATCATGTGCTCTCATACAACAGGGTTCTGCTATCAACAGGTGTCCTTATACAAAAGTGTTCTGCTATCAACAGGTGTCCTTATACAACAGGGTTCTGCTATCAACAGGTGTCCTTATACAACAGGGTTCTGCTATCAACAGGTGACCTCATACAACAAGGTTCTGCAATCAACAGGTGTCCTTATACAACAAGATTCTGCTATCATGTGATCTCATACAACAGGGTTCTGCTATCAACTGGTGTCCTTATACAACATGGTTCTGCTATCAACAGGTGCCCTCATACAACAGGGTTCTGCAATTAACAGGTGTTCTTATACAACAAGGTTCTGCTATCAACAGGTGCCAAGATGGTCAGGGCAGTAAGGTCAACTACATAATCACCAGTTCCCATGATAACAGTTTAAACGAACAATTTGGTGGTTTCGATTAAATCTTTCATAATGTTTGTTTGAGAAAGTCCATCTACCATCGGTGACCCTGGTAACTTAGCAGTGCTACATATTTACGCAGCATTACCTTGTGATCTCACTCCCCCTCCCCCCACCCCCACCCGCACAGAGGGGGCATGCAGTGAATCTACTCACACACAAACCTCTATGTGCGTAGACTTGCTAACAGTCTTCAGTCCGGCACATGCTCCTGGAGACATTCATTCTTCCCTGGCATGCATGTATACAGGTGTACAATCTACCCGAGCATGTACAGTACTGCAGGGGCACATGTCCACACACGACTCGCGGCTGAATGAGGGTGTGGCCTGACCGGCATTCAAACACCCCTTCAAGTGGACTGACCTTGTGACATTCAGCACTGTGACTGAAAATCATGGACCAGTGCATTGTGCTAGGGAGGGTAAGTCTTTACATGCACACCATGATACTTGGGGCATGTTAGAGGGTGTTGCTTCGCTAATGGTTGCACTATCTACTAATTTCCCACTGAAATTATGCAAAGCAATGACAGTGACTGTCAGTCAGGGCACAATGTAAGGGAGATAACTCATGTGTGAGTCCACTTTCACAAAACGAACATATCACAACTCATACACTTTAATATGTCAGTGTGGACTTGTAAATCAGGGCAGTATGTCATACAGGTCAATGTGGACTTGTAAATCAGGGCAACATGTCATACAGGTCAATAAGGACTTGTAAATCAGGGCAGTTGGTCATACAGGTCAATGTGGACTTGTAAATCAGGGCAGTTTGTCATACAGGTCAGTGTGGACTTGTAAATCAGGGCAATATGTCATACAGGTCAGTGTGGACTTATAAATCAGGGCAGTTGGTCATACAGGTCAATGTGGACTTGTAAATCAGGGCAGTTTGTCATACAGGTCAATGTGGACTTGTAAATCAGGGCAACATGTCATACAGGTCAATAAGGACTTGTAAATCAGGGCAGTTTGTCATACAGGTCAGTGTGGACTTATAAATCAGGGCAGTTTGTCATACAGGTCAATGTGGACTTGTAAATCAGGGCAGTTTGTCATACAGGTCAGTGTGGACTTATAAATCAGGGCAGTTTGTCATACAGGTCAATGTGGACTTGTAAATCAGGGCAGTTTGTCATACAAGTCAGTGTGGACTTGTAAATCAGGGCAGTATGTCATACAGGTCAATGTGGACTTGTAAATCAGGGCAATATGTCATACAGGTCAATGTGGACTTGTAAATCAGGGCAATATGTCATACAGGTCAATGTGGACTTGTAAATCAGGGCAATACGTCATTCAGGTCAATCTGGACTTGTAAAACAAAGGTACATTCATTAAGTGCATTGGTGTTGTAACCATGGCAACAAGAGCAATGTTATACTTACAGTCGGGAGGAGTCCATGCCGCCATCGTCACCCTCGATTCTGTAGACTTTGCCAAACATGACGTACTCGAACTGGTCAGCACGAGACGGGCCCTGTTGTGTGGGGTTGTACTCTCCGTCCTCCGGGTACCCGTCCTCCCGCAGAGTCGTCGCGATCACCAGGCGGAACTTGTCACCTAGGAAACAGTCACATGACAACTTGTCATCAGTTGCCTTGGAAACAGTCACTCGGTGACATGTCATCAGTTACCTAGGAAACAGTCACATGATGACATGTCATCAGTTACCTAGGAAACAGTCACTCGATGACATGTCATCAGTTACCTAGGAAACAGTCACATGATGACATGTCATCAGTCACCTAGGAAACAGTCACTCGATGACATGTCATCAGTCACCTAGGAAACAGTCAATCGATGACATGTCATCAGTTACCTAGGAAACAGTCACATGACTACGTGTCATCAGTTGCCTTGGAAACAGTCACACAGTGACATGTCATCAGTTACCTAGGAAACAGTCACATGATGACATGTCATCAGTCACCTAGGAAACAGTCATTCGATGACATGTCATCAGTTACCTAGGAAACAGTCACATGATGACATGTCATCAGTCACCTGGGAAACAGTCACATGATGACATGTCATCTGTTACCTAGGAAACAGTCACAAGATGACATGTCAGCAGTTACCTTGGAAACGGTCACTTTAACATCAATTTACATATAGTAGTAGCATCTTGACAACCGTAACACGTAATTACAATGATAATCAGATAAAATGTCATACAGGTAACTGTGGGCTTGAAAAAAACAGGAAGTATGTCACCAGGGCTCGATTTCACAACATAACACATGCACTAGTGCACACAAAGGCAACCTGTTATCTCTACATGCAACCAGTGCATCTTAAAATTCAACGTTTACATCTGACCAAATATTAATATCAGTGCCACTATGCATCATGTGCATATCTGTTTGCATAATCGTACCTCTTATCCAATGATAACTGTTAAGAGGACAGTTTGTGGAAAAAAATTGTTTCGGATCTGGATTCGAGTTTTCGAAAATTAAGTTTGTATAAATTTTTAAGGGGAAATTTATCTCAGAATATACTGCAGAATTTGGTAATGTTGCCACAAAAATTTTTTAATATTTTACTACAGAAATCATCCAGGACTGTCAATGAATCTAATCAAGTCAATCTTATGTAAATGACAAGAACGCAAGACAATTGATGGGACATTATACGTGTTTCCCTTCAAAAGTGTCTTTACTGTGAACTGGGCATTTCAGAATATTAACCACACTGGTCTAGGAATATTTTTCATATACATCTACAGGTTCCGTGACAGGTGAGTGTAACAAGGTTGTGATGTGAACATACACCAGGTACAAGCAAGCTATAACTCGTTCCCTAACTCGAGCCCAGCATACAGGCCATTGGGAACCGGTAAGGACCTGTCTGTCACCAATCACCATGAGCGTGAGTATAGTTTTATGCCGCTTTTAGCAATATTCCAGCAATATCACGGCGGGGGACACCAGAAATGGGCTTCACACATTGTACCCATGTCGGGATTTGAACCCGGGCCTTCCACGTGACGAGCGAACGCTATAACCACTACTGTACCCCTTGTAAGATTGTCTATCTGTCTGTCACCAATGACCATGGAAACAGTCAAATGACAGGTCATCAATCACAATAGAAAGAGTCACATGACAGGTCATCAATCACCATGGAAACAGTCACATGACAGGTCATCAATCACCATGGAAACAGTCACATGAGAGGTCATCAATCACCATGGAAACAGTCACATGACAGGTCATCTATCACCATGATAACAGTCACATGACAGGTCATCAATCACCATGGAATCAGTCACATGAGAGGTCATAAATCACCATGGAAACAGTCACATGACAGGTCATCAATCCCCATGGAAACAGTCACATGACAGGTCATCAATCACACTTCGGTACATCTGTCTCATGGATCTGACAGCCCAGACCACCTTGGTAGAGCTGGTACTCATGATTCGGTTAACTTCAAAGCAGTGACTCTCTGTCAGTCATCACTCTGACGGATGAACCAACCCTGTTTTCTCCAGAGTGAGTGAGTGAGTGAGTAGGGTTTAACGCCGCTTTTAACAGTATTCAAGTTATATCACGGCGTGTCAGCTTAATGTGGGAGGAAAGCCTGAAGTGATGCAGGTCTCAGACGTTAACCACTTCGGGACCGCCTCCGTGGTCTAGTAGTAGAGGTCTGGGGTTCGATCCCCGTCCTCGTCATACCAAAAGACATTAAAAGATGGTACTTGTTGTTACCCTGTCTGGCGCTCGACAATAAGGGACTAAAACAAGGACTGGTCGGCTCGGAGTCAGTATACTTTGTCTGGGTGGGGTATTCTTGTTAAAGTTAAACGGCGGCATGGTATCTCAGTGGGCTAGCACTATAAATTGGCATCAGTCCGGACTAGTACAAGCAGACACACACACACGTGCATGCATGTCGCAACATAAGTGCAATAATCTTGGATGCGGCATGGTATCTCAGTGGGCTAGCACTATAAATTGGCATCAGTCCGGACTAGTACAAGCAGCCACACACACACACACACACACACACGTGCATGCACGTCGCTATATAAGTGCAATAATCTTGGACGCGACGTTAAACCCCATTTCACCTCACCTCATCTTACCACTTTGGTGAAACCCACGAGCACGAGTATGGTGCTGACAAACCTAGAAACATAATCGGTGTGAACCGGGATTCAAACCCACAATCATAGGTTTCTGGCGTGCCCAAAGGCATTTCTCCAGAGGCACTCACCGAGCTCCACGGGGTAGATCTGTGTGTTCACGTCCAGAATCAGGTCCATCTTGAAGGACTCGCTCTCACAGAACAGCCGAGACACTGAAACATGACATGTTACTATGGTTACACTGACACACAAAAAACAAGTGATACTTGAGTCAATGAAACCTAACTGTTACTAAACATGCGAAAGACAACTTCCACACTTCACTGCGGATTTGTTGACCTTCAAAACATCAATCTCATTAAAATCAGATCTTAGTCCTCGCTATCACTAGTCAGAGGACCACGGTGTGGAGGTGATGAGATGTCAGCTAGTCAGTCAGTGGAACACAGTGTTGAGGTGATGAGATGTCAGCTAGTCAGTCAGTGGAACACAGTGTTGAGGTGATGAGATGTCAGCTAGTCAGTCAGTGGACCACGGTGTGGAGGTGATGAGATGTCAGCTAGTCAGTCAGTGGACCACGGTGTGGAGGTGATGAGATGTCAGCTAGTCAGTCAGTGGACCACGGTGTGGAGGTGATGAGATGTCAGCTAGTCAGTCAGTGGACCACGGTGTGGAGATGATGAGATGTCAGCTAGTCAGTCAGTGGACCACGGTGTGGAGGTGATGAGATGTCAGCTAGTCAGTCAGTGGACCACGGTGTGGAGATGAAGAGGTGTCAGCTAGTCAGTCAGTGGACCACAGTGTGGAGGTGATGAGATGTCAGCTAGTCAGTCAGTGGACCACGGTGTGGAGGTGATGAGATGTCAGCTAGTCAGTCAGTGGACCACGGTGTGGAGGTGATGAGATGTCAGCTAGTCAGTCAGTGGACCACGGTGTGGAGGTGATGAGATGTCACAGTCAGAGGACCACGGTGTGGAGGTGATGAGATGTCAGCAGCTAGTCAGTCAGTGGACCACGGTGTGGAGGTGATGAGATGTCAGCTAGTCAGTCAGTGGACCACGGTGTGGAGGTGATGAGATGTCACAGTCAGAGGACCACGGTGTGGAGGTGATGAGATGTCAGCAGCTAGTCAGTCAGTGGACCACGGTGTGGAGGTGATGAGATCTCAGATTCAGTCAGTGGATTCTTAGAACCAGTTTATCATGATTCAGTGTTCAGAAACTGGTGAATGAATGTGATCTTCCTAACAATTGGGGACACTTGACGAAACCAGAGGACACACAATTATTTTTAAATAAAGACATAAAATTTAGAGAAAGTTACCATGGTTACCTATTTCACATAAGGAATTCAACATGTCAGCTTGGTCAGTGTCACTACACGTATTCACATGATGCGACATTGTCACTTTTCACATTTTATTTCTTCTAGTCAGTTTTGAAACTGGCAGTCCTGGTGGACCGGCAACACTATACATGCTAAAAATTACCAGTCCCTCATATTTTTGTCAGTCCCAACCTTCAACAATTAAAAAACATTATCTGGTTTTAATTCATTCAACATGACATCGTCTCTAAAGTTACTTAGATCTACATGTCATTCACACAAAGTTCAGTCACAGTTTTCTCAGAGATAAAGAATCACACTTTCTTCAGTGGGTCAACAGTCACGTTCAAGGCAACAGTCACGTTCAAGGCAACAGTCAAGTTCATGGCAACAGTCACGTTCAAGGAGACAATTGTAAACTCAACACAAAAGCTGCACTTCCTCAGAAAAAATTAACTTCAAAACCAACAAACATCAATCATAAACTATTTTATAATTTGTCATTGTAAAGAAAACAGATGAAATTCATCACCTCATTTAAAAATTCAATAAATTGGGCCCCTTCGTCCGCCTTCTTTTCTCAGACGCCATGAAAAGTGTGAGGGACAGGGATACGAGATTGTAAAATGAAAGCTTAAAGACGACATGGACGATAGGGCCTGGTTATGTAAGGGACATAACTCTTGTTCTCGGAAATGATTATAGCAGACGACCAAACCCTACGTTACTTGGCAACGTTAGTAAATTTATTTGGAACTTATCATGAAACCTATGATCACTGATGTGAACTGAAGACTTTATGATTAATGAATTCCAATTGTAAAAATGTATTAACTTCGCATTGTGACAAAGATCAATGAAAATTCGAGTTGAATTAAAGTCAATAGTGAAAGGTATTAGATTGAAATCATTTTTCAGTTTCTGTATATCATGCTGCGCCCAACTTATTTTTTTGTGCCATTAGGAATTTTGTGTGTAAAAGTCCCCATGGCCAATCATCTCTGACTGTGATCCACTCGGAGAAAAAGGACCTAATGAGTCCTAGGTTACAATGCTGTGACATCATAAGACCCGTGAAGATCCGGGGTGGAATAGGTCTTCAGCAACCCATGCTTGCCGTAAAAGGCGATTAACGGGAGCGGGTGGTCAGGCTCGCTGACTTGGTTGATGCATGTCATCGATCCCAATTGCGTGGATCGATGCTCATGATGTCAATCACTGGATTGTCTGGTCCAGACTCGATTATTTACAGACCGCCGTCATATAGCTGGAATATTGCTGAGTGCGGCGTTAAACAACAAACCAACCAATAATAAGACGCTTGACGTCAACTTACTTCAGTGAAGATCGCCATGTGTGAGGGCCGTACAAAAATATATTATTTTTCTCACATTAGTTCGCAAGGTAATAAAAACACTATTTCAAAACCTTCCAGCATACACGTCTACTTTCAATTCATCACACATTATGTATAAAAACTGCAGTTATTACATTAACAGTCATTAGTCAGAAAATGAGTCCAAATGTTCGAAATATGAATTGAAGCTTGTGCATTGTATTTTTGCGTTCCAGAGATACTGTAGTTTTAAAATATATGAAAAGTCAAAGTGTGATGGTAGTTCACTGACTGTATATCATGTGACCTGTCAGTTGCACCTGCTGGTTCCAGTATATCATGTGACAGTATATATAGTCCTTATTCACCTGCTGGCTGTAGTATATCATGTGACAGTATATATAGTCCTTATTCACCTGCTGGCTGTAGTATATCATGTGACAGTATATATAGTCCTTTTTCACCTGCTGGCTGTAGTATATCATGTGACAGTATATATAGTCCTTATTCACCTGCTGGCTGTAGTATATCATGTGACAGTATATATAGTCCTTATTCACCTGCTGGCTGTAGTATATCATGTGGCATATATTATATATATAGTCCTTATTCACCTGCTGGCTGTAGTATATCATGTGGCATATATTATATATATAGTCCTTATTCACCTGCTGGCTGTAGCAGAGATCCAGATAAGCTGCGTATCTGCGTAAAAAACGCATCAGAAATGCAGAAATACGCAGTAAAATAATGTCCAAGCGTATCAAATACGCAACGAACATTACAGATACGCTACAAAAATAAAACTTGTGCGTATATTCAAAATATTGTGAAGTAACCCTGCGTATTCGATTGGCAAATCAGCAACTTATTTTGAAATTATAAACGGGCATTCCGTCAACCTTGCCAAACTCCACGATGACAGTTACATCATGATTATTTGCCATCACACTTATGGAAGTATCGTGGTATTTTTGAGTCCTATAAAGCTCTCGAACCCACACAACACCAGTTTGCAGGGACTAGATGAATAGTGTTTTTAAATATTTAACTACAATACCCACATATGTAAAAAGTAGTGGGTAACAGAAATTTGAATACCCAGATAGAATTACTGATAAGCAGTGATTTTAAAATGCATGGGTAAAATACCCACAACACCAAAAGCTTATCTGGAGCTCTGTGTAGTATATCATGTGGCAGTATATATAGTCCTTATTCACCTGCTGGCTGTAGTATATCATGTGACAGTATATATAGTCCTTATTCACCTGCTGGCTGTAGTATATCATGTGACAGTATATATAGTCCTTATTCACCTGCTGGCTGTAGTATATCATGTGACAGTATATATAGTCCTTATTCACCTGCTGGCTGTAGTATATCATGTGACAGTATATATAGTCCTTATTCACCTGCTGGCTGTAGTATATCATGTGACAGTATATATAGTCCTTATTCACTTGCTGGCTGTAGTATATCATGTGACAGTATATATAGTCCTTATTCACCTGCTGGCTGTAGTATATCATGTGACAGTATATATAGTCCTTATTCACCTGCTGGCTGTAGTATATCATGTGGCAGTATATATAGTCCTTATTCACCTGCTGGCTGTAGTATATCATGTGACAGTATATATAGTCCTTATTCACCTGCTGGCTGTAGTATATCATGTGACAGTATATATAGTCCTTATTCACCTGCTGGCTGTAGTATATCATGTGACAGTATATATAGTCCTTATTCACCTGCTGGCTGTAGTATATCATGTGACAGTATATAAAGTCCTTATTCACCTGCTGGCTGTAGTATATCATGTGGCATATATTATATATATAGTCCTTATTCACCTGCTGGCTGTAGTATATCATGTGGCATTTATTATATATAGTCCTTATTCACCTGCTGGCTGTAGTATATCATGTGGCATATATTATATATATAGTCCTTATTCACCTGCTGGATTATTATATCATGTGGCATATATTATATATATAGTCTGTATTCACCTGCTGGCTTAGTATATCATGTGGCATGTGTGTGTGTGTGTGTGTGTGTGTGTGTGTGTGTGTGTGTGTGTGTGTGTGTGTGTGTGTATATATATATATATATATATATATATATATATATATATATGCTGGCTGCAGTATATCATGTGACACATGCCCCCAGCACTAAGGTCAATGTGTCAGCTGATCCTCTGTAGACCGGCATTGACTCAGTCACTGTTGTCGTGTACATCCTAGCAACCAGCATGTCGTGATCTAACCTGCACCCTGCAGTGCTGACTAGCAGAACCCCGACAGCACTGGTCGGCTAGTACTGACTTTACCAATACAAAACAGTACAGTGATCTTGATAGAAGCCAATGTCATAAAGACATTTACATGAACATAGCAAATTTGGAACACAAGTGTCTATACCATCCCCCAAATCCTTTTTAGGATGACAATCAGTCAAATTGAACCTATCTTAAATTCGGATATTATTATAACACCAGTCTACCTTCCTAGCTGCTACTACAGGCCTGTCATGATACTCCTAACATAATGTGTTTTACATCACAAAACACATGCAACTAGCAGAGAGACGTGGGCATGAGACACAGGGGCTTAAGTGTGGAGAGAAAGAAAGCAGAAGTCTGAACACGAACCAGAAACTTTAGCAGTTTGCAATAGCAGCTGAATCAGATAAGAATAGACATTTATCTGTGAGTAGTCTGACCTGAAATTTATAAAGCATGTCCTGTCATGCAAGAGGATTTTCTTTTCAATTCATAATTTTATTTTGCATTCTTTGGAACTGTATCATTGATCAAGGGCTAGAGTTTCTCAACACTGAACGCATATTAATTTCAGACATCTTAATTATTAATCAATAATTAAAACAGAAGATATACAAACAATCGCAATCCATGTTGGTAACAGGGACAAAGTAACAGCAGCTAGATAAATAACTGCCAAATAAGTTATTTTGTTACCATAGTTTTCATGCCTTTTGTCTTTTTGAGTGTCATTGATTATGATTACACAGCAAAAAAAGCTGACTCAGAAGTTTCCATTATTTGATACTGAAGTTTCTGCATAATAAGCAACATAGGGTTCAAGTTTTAGCTAATATTGCCTCCACATTTTCTTTAATACAATACTAGTAAACGCATAAAACAGACAGAAATTCATGAGTAATTTGTCAAATAAGAATGTGTAGATAAGGTACATGCCCTCACATGTCCTAAGTATTGGATCTACATCACAGTCACTGAACGTAAATTAATGTAGCTAGCTCACCATCCAACGTTCCTGGCCGATGCCCCCTCCCTGCCCGGCAGGATCCCGGGGGTGGGGATTGCTGTCCCTGGGGGTGGCTGGCCACATATGTGGACTTGGTGCGGTGAAGGTGGGAGAGGACATCCCATGGACAGACCGCGCCTGGTGGCGTGCGTTCAGCAATGTTTGACAGATCGTCCAATGTTCACGATTTCTGGTGACATGTCACAACACGCCAGCGGGTGCCGGGTACGATCGTGGCCGACCACGCCAGTCGGGGTCGATCATAAATAAAAATCACTATAGCAACATGTCATACTTTCACTATCACGAACCAATTTCTTTTAAAACAGCATTAACATCAACCGTCATCATTTTGGCTGCGATCCAACACAAAATACTGCGCATCACACAAAATCACATGTCCGGCCATGCTCGGAGCCGGTGCGATACGAGGGCGACGTGACCTGGCCTGTTTACTGTGACATTCGCCTAAACGCCATCAGTGAATGGCGGGCGCTGACATACATCCATAATATGCAAGGGAACAAAGTTTCACTCACCTCTGTCGAATTTCTTGCCATCTGGATCAATATCTTTAACATCAAAAATATCCTCAAACAAAACACCCGCCATGTTTATTTCGCGGAAATAGCCTCGAAGACCATATAACGAAGGATCCGTTTTCTCTTAGATTTGAAAAGATGAGGTCTATCATCACATGACTGCAGACTATTTTATCAATTCGGAATATCTAGGTTATATGTGAGGCGATTGTTCTTTCCCTTTAAGAGTGACTGCGCTGTTTATGTCAAAACCATTGAGAGTATTGCATTTCACTTATTGATCTTAGAGCGAAAAGACTCCTCCAAGGGACATAACTCTAAAACAATTTTGTAGAAGCTTGTCATTTGCATAAAAAAAGTCGCAGCGATATCCTTAAACTAAAATTAAGGTAATTAATAACTAATCTAAAAAGGAAACAAAGAAACACGCTAGATTTTTATTTCGTTCATCACTTTTGTATTGCATAGTTATTATCACGAGGCAAAGGGAATTTTTCTATTTTTTGTTTTGAAATCATGACTAAATGAAGATAATTAGTATGCTCAAATTAAACTTACTTTTATAATTTTGTATGTGCGTATGTTTATTCATACCCCGCTATCCTCACCCCATAACCCAGAAAAACCGCTATCCTCACCCCCTAACCCAGAAATATAGCCACCCTCACCCCATTACCCAGACGTCCCGCTATCCTCACCCCATAAACCAGACGTCCCGCTATCCTCACCCCATAAACCAGACGTCCCGCTATCCTCACCCCATAAACCAGACGTCCCGCTATCCTCACCCTCTAGCCCAGAAACCCCGCTATCCTCACCCCATAACCCAGAAACCCCACTATCCCCACCCCATAAACAAGAAACCCCGCTATCCCCACCCCATAACCCAGAAACCCCGCTATCCTCACCCTCTAACCCAGAAACCTAGCCACCCTCACCACATAACCCAGAAACCCCGCTATCCCCACCCCATAAACAAGAAACCCCGCTATCCCCACCCCATAACCCAGAAACCCCGCTATCCCCACCCCATAAACAAGAAACCCCGCTATCCCCACCCCATAAACCAGACGTCCCGCTATCCTCACCCCATAAACCAGACGTCCCGCTATCCTCACCCTCTAGCCCAGAAACCCCGCTATCCTCACCCCATAACCCAGAAACCCCACTATCCCCACCCCATAAACAAGAAACCCCGCTATCCCCACCCCATAACCCAGAAACCCCGCTATCCTCACCCTCTAACCCAGAAACCTAGCCACCCTCACCACATAACCCAGAAACCCCGCTATCCCCACCCCATAAACAAGAAACCCCGCTATCCCCACCCCATAACCCAGAAACCCCGCTATCCCCACCCCATAACCCAGAAACCCCGCTATCCCCACCCCATAACCCAGAAACCCCGCTATCCTCGCCCTCTAACCCAGAAACCCCGCTATACTCACCCTCTAACCCAGAAACCCCGCTATACTCACCCTCTAACCCAGAAGCCCCGCTATCCTCACCCTCTAACCCAGAAACCCCGCTATACTCACCCTCTAACCCAGACGTCCCGCTATCCTCACCCCATAACCCAGAAACCCCGCTACCCTCACACCATAACCCAGAAACCCCGCAACCCTCATCCCATAACCCAGAAACCCCGCTATCCTCATCCCATAACCAAGAAATGCCGCTCCCCTCACCCCATAACCAAGAAACCCCGCTACCCTCACCACATAACCAAGATACCCCGGTACCCTCACCACATAACCAAGAAACCCCGCTATCCCCACCCCATAACCCAGAAACCCCGCTATCCCCACCCCATAACCCAGAAACCCCGCTATCCTCACCCTCTAACCCAGACGTCCCGCTACCCTCACCACATAACTCAGAAACCCAATTACAAACACCCTAAAAAACCCGAAACACTTCCACCCTTATCTTATAATCCAGAAACCCTCTTCGATCACCCATAATCCAGTAACCTCTCAGAATATGTCCCCAGCAATATGCAGGCGAATACTGATAAATATACAAGTGAATACTGATGAATATACATGTGATTGCTGACCCGTGAAGATCCGGGTAAGAATAGGTCTCCATGCAGCAACCCATGCTTGCAGCGAAAGGCGACTCTCCTTGTCGTAAGGGGCGACTAACGGGATCGGGTGGTCAGGCTCGCTGACTTGGTTGATACATGTCATCGTATCCCAATTGCGTAGATTGATGCTCATGATATCAATCACTGGATTGTCTGGTCCAGACTTGAGCTTTTACAGACCGGAGTCATATAGCTGGAGTATTGCTGACTGCGGTGTTAAACAACAAACAAACAAAACATGTGATTGCTGATAAATATACTCGTGAATACTGATGAATATACTCGTGAATACTGATAAACATATCGTGAATACTGATAATATACTCATGAGGACTGATAAATATACTCGTAAATACTAATCAATATATTCTTGTGAATACTGATAAATATACTCGAGAATGCTGATAAATATACTCGTGAATACTGATCAATATACTCATGAGGACTGATAAATATACTCGTGAATGCTGATGAATATACTCGTGAATGCTGATAAATATACTCGTGAATACTGATCAATATACTCATGAGGACTGATAAATATACTCGTGGATGCTGATAATATACTCGTGAATGCTGATAAATATACTCATGAGGACTGATTAATATACTCGTGAATACTGATAAATATACTCGTTAATGCTGATGAATATACTCGTGAATGCTGATAAATATACTCATGAGGACTGATTAATATACTCGTGAATACTGATAAATATACTCGTTAATGCTGATGAATATACTCGTGAATGCTGATAAATATACTCGTGAAAGCTGATGAATATACTCGTGAATGCTGATAAATATACTCGTGAATGCTGATGAATATACTCGTGAATGCTGATAAATATACTCGTGAATGCTGATAAATATACTCGTGAATGCTGATAATATACTCATGAGGACTGATGAATATACTCGTGAATGCTGATGAATATACTCGTGAATGCTGATAAATATACTCGTGAATACTGATCAATATACTCATGAGGACTGATAAATATACTCGTGGATGCTGATAATATACTCGTAAATACTGATCAATATATTCTTGTGAATACTGATAAATATACTCGAGAATGCTGATAAATATACTCGTGAATACTGATCAATATACTCATGAGGACTGATAAATATACTCGTGGATGCTGATAATATACTCGTGAATGCTGATAAATATACTCATGAGGACTGATTAATATACTCGTGAATACTGATAAATATACTCGTTAATGCTGATGAATATACTCGTGAATGCTGATAAATATACTCGTGAATGCTGATGAATATACTCGTGAATGCTGATAAATATACTCGTGAATGCTGATGAATATACTCGTGAATGCTGATAAATATACTCGTGAATGCTGATAAATATACCCGTGAATGCTGATAATATACTCATGAGGACTGATAAATATACTCGTGAATGCTGATGAATTTACAAGTGAATACTGAAAGAAATACAAGTGAATGCTAATAAATGACACCAGAGTGACACCACCCTGACACCAGCTTGACAGCCTTCCGATGCCTCTCGACACCAGAGTGACACCACCCTGACACCAGCCTGACACCCTTCCGATGCCTCTCGACACCAGAGTGACACCACCCTGACACCCTTCCGATGCCTCCCGACACCAGAGTGACACCACCCTGACACCCTTCCGATGCCTCTCGACACCAGAGTGACACCACCCTGACAGCCTTCCGATGCCTCTCGACACCAGAGTGACACCACCCTGACACCCTTCCGATGCCTCTCGACACCAGAGTGACACCTCCCTGACACCAGCCTGACAGCCTTCCGATGCCTCCCGACACCAGAGTGACACCACCCTGACACCAGCCTGACACCCTTCCGATGCCTCCCGACACCCGAGTGACACCACCCTGACACCAGCCTGACACCCTTCCGATGCCTCCCGACACCAGAGTGACACCACCCTGACACCAGCCTGACAGCCTTCCGATGCCTCCCGACACCAGAGTGACACCTCCCTGACACCAGCCTGACACCCTTCCGATGCCTCCCGACACCACCCTGACACCACCCTGACACCAGCCTGACACCCTTCCGATGCCCCCCGACACCAGAGTGACACCAGCCTGACACCAGCCTGACACCCTTCCGATGCCTACCGACACCAGAGTGACACCTCCCTGACACCAGCCTGACACCCTTCCGATGCCTACCGACACCAGAGTGACACCACCCTGACACCAGCCTGACACCCTTCCGATGCCTCCCGACACCAGAGTGACACCTCCCTGACACCAGCCTGACACCCTTCCGATGCCTCCCGACACCAGAGTGACACCTCACAGCAGGTTGCGCCACAGCATCGCACACTGTTCTAAGGGACATAACCCCTTCATGACAAACGTTACCACAGCAAGACTGTTTTGCTGGGTTATCTGTTTCATGTGTGACACGTTTACAGAACACGCGCTGGGTGAATGTGTATTAAAGTACGCAATGTTCGAAGGATTCTTACGTGCAAGTGTATGTCACGTGTAGGACGGCGATGCTTGTTGTCCATCGCCAACAGCTAATAACCGGTTTCTCATAAAACTAGGATTTCAATCAGCGCGATTCGGGGTTGTACGGCGGCAGTCATTTGAAGCGCACGTACAATATCCCGATTATGACGAGCGGCAAATTCCGCTCCCACGTAATGACTTTATCTGAAAGTACAACATGAGCCGATGAATGTCAAACAAAGCTCGAATTTGTAACTGCATACAGAGTGAAGATAACCCATGCAGTCTCCCATACCTCGTCATACTGTCTCCCATACCTCGTCATACAGTCTCCCATACGAAGTCATACAGTCTCCCTAACTCGTCATACTGTCTCCCATACCCCGTCATACTGTCTCCCATACGAAGTCATACTGTCTCCCATACCTCGTCATACTGTCTCCATACCTCGCCATACAGTCTCCCATACGAAGTCATACAGTCTCCCATACCTCGTCATACTGTCTCCCATACCTCGTCATACAGTCTCCCATACCTCGTCATACAGTCTCCCATACCTCGTCATACAGTCTCCCATACGAAGTCATACTGTCTCCCATACCTCGTCATACTGTCTCCCATACTTTGTCATACAGTATCCCATACCTGGTCATACAG